AAACGCACCCTTGCATTTCGCTGATTATCCACTGCTGTCGTCATTGTCACTAAGATACAACAGCTTACGTGGCACGATCCCATTGGAGTATAGTCGAAAGAAGAGTCTGAGAAGGCTGTTTCTTGATGGGAATTTCCTGATTGGAAAGCCACCACCGGCTTTTTTCGCCGCAGACACGTCGGTTTCCGGTAGCATAGGGGATAATTGTCTCCAAGCATGTCCAGGTTCGTCTCAGCTGTGCATGCCTTTGCAGAAGCCAAGTTCTATATGCAAGCAAGCTTACGGTGGAAAACCAAGTTCTTAAGGCGTCAGGTTGTTATTTAATATATATATATATATATATATATATAGCGAGAGTAATACTAATCTGTACTGAAAGTTTTTAGAACAGTCAATTAGATATAAAGGTGGTGATCATATAATTAGTTATCGATTTTGATTTGTAATAGTTGGGATTTTTCAAGTTAGATTTTCGTAGGTTAATGTCAGATTAATAGATAAAAAATGAAAATGTCAAATTAAGTAAAGGCATTTATTACCTAAGCCAATAACTAGACAATGAAATTAGTTAATGATTCTAAAATGTTCCCCTCAATTTCGAGCCAAAGAGTTATAATGTCACATGTGCTTGTCTAAGCAATCTGGCCAAGACGGTGGGGGAACGAAAGGGGTTTTACATGCAATGCCGACATTGATCACTGTGTTCGTGCTAATTACGTTATGGCATGAATGTAGTTTTTGAAGGATATCACTTTTGGAAATGAGACTCGCTCGGTTCTAGATTGTCTTCAATTGTTTGACCACCTCGGGAATACCCCTTTTCTACCTTCATACTTTGACAGAGAGGCCATCGGCCTCGAAATTTAATGGCGCACAGGTCTCTCTCTTTAAAAAGATATTGGGGTCAAGTCTCTCTTGCAAAAAGAAAATGAACGTGGGTTTTCAAGTAAACATGGATTATCCAGAGGAACGCAAAGCACAAATATTCTAATGGACATTAGAGAAAATGTGAACACGTTTCAGCCGTGTAAAAGGGCATATATTTGGTGGCTGCAGCTTTAAAAGCAGTTCCACCACCGCCACCTCCATTTTGTTGGATCTATCATCATTACTAGTTTGCAACTGACAAATATCGGGATAGTTCGGCATATAGCATCAACTACTTTATACTTAACTCGCTTTTTGAAATAATTTTTCTTAAAAATATATTGTTATAGTAAAAATAATAAATAATAAATTTATAAATATATAATGTCAAATAAATTGAGAATTATATATATTAATAAAAGAAAAAAAACATAAATAATAACTAAAGTTTGGGTGTTGTAGACAGAGAAAGGTCGTCGAATACAGTTGTTCTGTTTTGGAACGGTTTGCCTGAAGCCGTGTGCATCTGTCGGTGGAGCAAGCTGTGCAAACACATATACCTTGGATGTGTCTTTTTCATTATAATAAATGGTCCTTATCAATTAATTGTGCGCTGATGATATCCGTGTTTAACCATTGCAGCCTGTTATGATTTTTATAAATTGATTTATAATTCATAATTTTAAAAAGTTATAAATATATTTGATTAAAAATAAATCTTCATTTACATAAAAAAATATTATAAAATCGACTCAGACTTTTGATTTAATAAAATGTTAATATTTTTAACTTGTCAAAGGTTTACTACAAAATTGATCAAGATCTTGATTTAATAAAAAAATAATTTTTTTTATTTTTTAACTTTTAAATTTAAATTTATCCTTGTTACAAGTTATTTATATAAAAAAAAAAATTGTGAGTTTTACCAAACAAAATCTCAAGTTCTTGCGCAAAATCTAAGCATGAGATTTCTACAGCAGCAGCTGGTATTGAATAAGAAAGTTGCTAAGCATCTACTAATTGAGTTTAAAACTTTAGTAATCTCCTTTTCCGCCCACCCTTTTCCCAAAACAACATTTACCTCTATGATTAATTAAAAGTTGGTGTGTTAAAACAAAAGGAGAGAGGTGGTTCCAATGACAACAAAGATGGTGGATTTACCCTCAGCAACATTGTTTGAAAAAGTCCAGGCACACCACCGGACCTTTTGAGATGTATTTTGAAGGAAATATGTTTTAAAAAAAGCAATTTAAATGTGAATAATCTGTTTAAGATCTAATTATTAAAAAAAAACTTTTTATAACTACAGCTACATCGTAAAGGGAGGTGGGGAGCGATTTCCGGGAAGCGTAGAGAGGGGAAAAGAAATTGCAGTGCATTATTACACGATGAGTGAGTGGTTCAGGAGGTTGGGGGCAGTTCATTGTCAACTTTACCAGCCAGTTGTGAATCACAACAAAAATGCAGGGACCCAACTGTAGGGTCTCCGTTGCTTTTGCAGGTGATAACTTCAGATCTGCTTAAACACTGCTCGGAGGGCTGTTGTTGAAAATGAAAAAAGGCAAAGTATAGGAGCAACCAGGAGAAAAGGAGGAAGAATGATAGGTCACATTCCTGTAGGGGTCGCTGCTCATGACTGAAGACTCTGGCTGCTACGCTTATCATTGTTAATTCTCTTGGATTATTAACAGAAAATCTAAAAGGATTGGTTTTCTTAATCCAGCAATCCACAATAAAATATTTATTTTACTATTAAAAAACAAGTAACACAGACTTTATTTATCATTCTCAAATTTAAAAGTAACATTTAAGCACCTTCACTTATATTTTGCATATTAAAATAACCATTATACTCATGTATTAAAAATATTTTAGAGCCAGCATATAAGGGTGTTTTGTATTTTTCATATTTTAATCACAATAAAATAACTTAAAAGTAGATTTTTCTTAAACTTACATCTAGAAAAATTTTCATATTTCTATCCGAGCTTTGTGTGTGTGTGTGTGTGTGATGTTGAGTTGGTGAAAGATTTTCTTTTATCTTTTCAAAAATATAAATATTATTAAGAAAGTTATACTTGGTCTTTTTTATTTGGGTTGCTATTTATTTGTTTGAATTTACTTTTTTAGCTGGATTTTTTTTGCAATTTCATTTTTCTTTAAATTTTTTTCTAGTTTTTATTTTTTAATTTTTTTTTACTTTGATGAATTTTCTTAATTAATATTATTTTTTAATTTTATTATTTAATTTTAAATTTGTTAAAAACATAGCTTATTAACTATGTTTGGATTTAAGATTTCACAAGTTGTTTGTTAGGGAAATTAATTCGGGTCTAAAAGATTCATACGGGTTTGTCTTTTTTTAATCTTATTTTTTTTAATTTTATCTTTTAACGTTTATTTAATTATAAATTGAGCTCCATTGATTTTTTTATTTATTTTTTATATGATCTTTTATTTGCTATCCTTTTCAAATTTATCTTTTATATTTAATTAATTAAATATAAATATGAGATGTTTATTTAATGATATTTAAAAAACATTACTGGATAGACATAGTTTTATTAGCACCGATAATTATTTAATTAAATAAAAAATAAAAAAAATTATTAAACACAATTGGATATATACTTTGTGTTATTATATCAAATATCTTGATTCATGTCTATTTCTTGCTTTTTATATTTTAATCTTTATTTATTATTAATGGTTTTTGCTATATGTTTATTGACGCAAATAACTCATGAGTTTATTTATTTTTAATTGAGATTTTTTATGATAAAAACAAATTGAAAGGATTTGTATTTAAAAAAAAAATTATGTGAAA